ATCCTTCTTCGCCTTGTTTTGTTACGAAACAATCAATTAGTTTGCCCTGTTGCCGAATTGGACCAGCGATGGGGCACATGACGACTGAAAGCACGTTGCACCTTAACTGCTTTCTGACAAAATAGCATTACTATACATACTTTGTTAACATCTGCACATAATCAAAGTTATTCTATATTATGTATAAGAAATTACCAGTTCCACCGCCAGTAGTGTGTCAGTAAGTGCATGCTTCCTGGTTTCACGAAGCTTCTTGTTTCTAGATGCCTGCGGGTCTATTTAAGCAAACCACTGCTCACTGTTTGAGTACCTGCAGCTCATGATGGCATTTTACTTCATTGCTGCGCTTTCTGCCAATAGGGGTATACCGAAGAGTAAATCTTATATGCTTTTCTAAAATATCAAAAGTAGGTTCCGCGGCCGGAGTATGTGAATGGCGTATGGTTCCTGAAAAACCGAACCTCGTGACTTATTGCACAGCCGACTTGCTCTTAGATATCTAAGGAGCCACTTAATCGGCTATGGCTTTGATATTTGAGTACCTGACTTGCCAAAGTGAATTACACATGATGTTGTTAGCTGGAGCACCTCCGACAGACATCTAGACGCTAGGACGGGACGTCAAACAGCGTGAATTCTGGCTTTTGAAGGTTGTAAGCTTTGTATTATGTTCAGAGTTAGGGTACTTTGCTGATGGATTAATAATCATGTTGAAATTCATAAACAGTTTGCTTACACGCAACGTTGTCTTTAAAAACAGCACAAAATGGTTCATCGAAGATATTAAATATCGAAGCCGTAGATATTTAATAATAGTAATGTAATGCGACTATATGCTAATTATTCGTTATAACTCCCGCGTCATTTCTGCGCTATCCTATAATATGATCAACCCGTATTTCAGGGCTTTTTTATTTATGTATTTGCAACTGTCTGACAGCAGTGTACATGTAGGTGAAAAGACAAGAAACTACAACCAGATGTCGACTCTCGAATTCAGAATCAAGTAAATTATCCTGAAAGGACCATGAAAAAATTTAGGTTTATTAAAATTTTTATTTAATCTGCTTCCGTTACTCACACGATATCAAGCAGCGGTCTACCGCAAGATGGACAACCCTAGCGTTGCATGCGTGCGCCTTTCTCAGTCTTGCATTGTTTACTATTGGATGCGGAAATGTCATGTATTTGTATCCGTCCACTTCAAAACTTTTTGAGAATTATATCCTCTCTGGTAGAAGGCACTCATGACTGCAAGAAAAGAAAACGGAAGGGAAAACGAACCCATGTATAAACGCACCAAAATTGATCTATAAATGAAAACGAATGTTACAATGAAATATGATGGTGGAGAAAGATTAACGGTCATTGGGCGTGATCTTGGTGGCGCATTATCAAGAGTGAACACAACTGTGAAGCATGGTGCCCGTGTAAAGGAACATGCGAAACTGCCGCTTGACACTGCTCAGGCATGTCTTAATAATTTCATCAGAATAGTCGAACACTTCATTTTACTGTTTTTCCTTACTATTTATACTGTATTATATTATTCCACATTAATAATTTCATGATAAATCTAATTTGGACATGTGTGATGTGA